AAAGCACTGGAACAGGTTATCCAGAGAGGTTGTGGAAACTCTATCCTTGAAGGTTTTTAAGACCCGGCTTGACAAAGCCTTGGCTGTGATGATCTAGTTATGGATGGTTCTGTTTTGAGTAGTGGGGTGGACAAGATGACCTCTTTAGGTCCCTTCCAACCCTAATTTTCTGTGGTTCTATGAGAATGTGTTGATCATAGCATAAAGCTCCTCACTTTATAATTTCTGTGGCACAGAGGGAGCTGAGTGGGGGAAGTGAAGAAGCAGTCACAGAAAAAGACATGGATGGTGCATAATAAGAGTCATCCACTGGGAATTATCCATGCATTTTCTTTCACATAAGATTTTTGCCGCTAGTTCCTCATGCACTGTATTGAAATTTTTATCCCAAAAAGTTGCACTTCACCTTTAAGAGTGAAGAAAGAAGTGTTTAGAGTGGAGTAGAGCTGAATACATGAAAACAGCAGAGGGGCTGCATAGTTTTTAGGGACTGGAAGGGACCTTACAGATCATTGGGTCTAGCCCCCCTGCACTTGGGCAGGAAAGACCACTTGAGATAATGTTATAGAGGAATAAATCTATTGATTTTACACTGAGATGTTGTTGTTGTTGTAATTCAAGTCCTTCAACATGTGGCCAAGTGCCAGAAAGTTTTCATCGTGCATAAGAGTAAGATAGGAATAAAATGTCTTCATTTGGTAAAGTTCTTAGGCTGTGCTGCCATCCTTGATTTGTCATGCATCTTACTCATGGAATCTGTGCATTGAATTTTTTCCTAATAGCAATCAGGTAGCTGGTAGAGGTGCACCAATACATCAGTCCATATTGTATCAGCACTGATAAAAGGAAAATTGATGTCGGCAATTGGCTTTTTTGGCTGATTCGACTGATAATGTTGCAGATAAATGCCACATGCATGTGCACAGCCACAGCATGCACGTGGCTAGCCTGGCAGCTTGAAGAGTAGCGTCCATCTGGTAAGTCTGTTGGGGGGGATGGGGCGGAGGGGAGGGATGGGGCATAGGGGTGCAAATTGAGGCCCCCGCAGTGAAGGAGGGAGTAGGGCAGGGGCAGGCACTGTCCAGCCAGGGTGGGACAGGGTGTGGGACAGAGCTGCGGGGAATGGGGGGGAAGGGGGAGTGGCTCCTGCCACTGCGTGCACCCCTGGGGGAGGCATGGGGAGTGCCTTCTGGATCTGTGTGCAGGATGAGGGTGGGCTGCTGCTGGGAGTGGGGGTGATGCTGAGCTGTTCCTGGCAAGGGGGGTTAAGCCAGATCTGTGCTGGGCAGTGGTGGCACTGGAGTGGGGGCTACAGGAGAACTATGGTGAATTCGGGGGTGGCTGTAGCCCTTCCTGTAGCCCCCCTCTCAGTGCTGCCACCTGCCCCAAGTACACCACCCAACCCAAACCCCAACCAAGAAGAGCCGGGCACTGACCCAGCCCCAGTCTGCAATGGGCAGCTCACCCTCACCCCACACAGATCTGGAGGGCACATGTCCCCCATGCCTCCCTTAAGGGTGCACGCAATGGCAGGAACCACTACCCCCCCAATTCCTGCAGCTCTATCCCATACCCCGTCTCACCCTGGCTGGACAGCACCTGCCCCTTTCCCTCCCTCACCATGGGGGCCTCAATCTATCCCCCATGTCCCTCCCCTCCTTGTCCCTTCCCCCCAAAAGACTTACCAGATGGATGGTACTATCCAAGTGGCCAGGCTGTATGTCAGCAATCAGATCAATATCAGCTGATATGACTCGTTAATAGTTGGCCATCAGTATCAGCCCAAAAAAACTTTATCAATACACCCGTAGTAGCTGGGGGTAATTTCTCTCTATCCCCCTCCCTCCTGTCCCTTAGTATTTTATCCCTTCTGCTTTCACTCCTGCCAACTGCTCTTCCCATTACCCTACTAGACATAATGCAAAGCAACATTCAGAAGACCTAATGACATACGGTCAGGAGGAAGTATAAAACAATAAAAGCATTAGAAAAATGGCTGAGAAAATGAAAACTTAAAATTACATAAAATAAACCATTTTGCACTGGGGGTAGAATTGCCACAAGAAAAGTTCAGCCAAGTGTAAAAAAGTGTTTAATGCTCAATCAGTTTGTGGAACCAAAAATATAATAGGCTCATTCTCACAGACTAAAATATGGTGTTTGACAAATGAGAGCTTTTTTTTTTTTTTTTGGCTCTGTTTCCAAAAGATGCTGATCATATGCAATTCTGACTCCTACAATTAAGGGTTTGGTCCAAGGCTCAGTGAATTCAATGGGAGGTTTTCCATAGGCTGCAGTGGAATTTTTGATCAAGCACTCATCTCCTGGGAAAGCAGGAGGTCTCTGGCATTTTAGCACACTATTAAAGCTTTAAGAAACAATGGCACCTGTTCTCCAAATTGCTAAATCCGTTTCCTTGCTTTGCCATCCTATGTTCTGGGGCTGCTGGGCACAGAACATTCTCTTATAATAAAGGGCTTAGTCTTGTCTGTCTGTCCATAACACTTTTGATCAAGTGCACACACGCTGCCACCAAGATAAGGTTACCATACGTCTGGGTTTCCCCAGGTGTGTCCCCACTCTTTTTAAGCCCTCTGTCCAGGCAGGTTGTCTGGGATTTTCCTTTGCTCTGCTGGTGGAAGCAGGAGGAGGGCGATTGCAGGTAGCAGGGAGCACACAGGGACTGGCTTGCAGCTGCGGAGGTGCGCAAACCCATGCGGTGCTGCCCACAGTCACCCTTCCCCTGCTCCCACCCCCAGAGCAAAGGAGAAATGCAGACATTTGGTCAGGAGAGGGGCAAAGGGGAGGGTTGCTTGTTCTCCAGGTGGGGAAAGGAGGGCAGCAG